AGAAGTAAGTTAACCTAAAGCTATAAATAGGGAGGAACACTTATCGTTGTAATCAACAAGTTTGATTATCACGGTTCTACAGTTGCAATGTGATTATAAAATTCCACAGTTGTGGACAGAAAGTTACTCTGTAGTTCATACTCATCTTCTTTAAATGTGTTCTTATTTTTGTTCATTGTCATTACATAACAATCTTGAGATTAAGATTGAGAAAGATTCACCATAGATCGTAGTTGAATTCTAACATCTGGTATATAGAGCTCCGGTTTTGATTCAAGGGAAAGAATAACTGTGATGACGATGAATCACCTGAGCGGTCACTTTCTAGCAAATCTTCCAATTCTCAAGAAAGATAATTATGAGAATTGCTGCAAGCAGATTAAGGTGGTTTTCTGTTACCAAGATCTTTGAGGTCTTGTGAAGGAGGGATTATCACCGCTTGTAGAAACTGCGATAAATCAGAAGAAAGCACCATATAAAGAATTGAAGAAGAAAGATTATAAAACTCTCTTTATAATCCATTAATGTGTTGATCCAGATAACTTTGAAAAGGTTAGTGATGTAGAGTCAGTAAAGAAAGTGTGCGAGATTCTTGAAAAAAAATGGAGGTGAAGAGAAGGTGAAAAAAGTGAGGTTACAAAATCACAAAAGGACTTATGAATTGCTTCAGATGAAAGACAATAAAAATATAACATATTTTTTCACCATAGTTACAAAGCTGATGAATCAAATCAAGGCATGTGGAGAAGTGTTGACATCAAGATCAGTTGTGTCAAAGATCTTGAGGTTATTAGCTCTAAAATTCAACCACGCGGTAGTAGTCATAGAAGAGTCAAAAGACTTGTCAGTATTGACGAAGGATGAGCTTCAAGTGACGCTTGAGTCTCATGAACAAATGATGGGTGAAAAAGTTGCAGGAAAGTCGAAGAAAAGAAAGAAAGGAAATGCAAAGGAAGCTGAAATGACAACAAAGGTAGAGGAGGCTACACTAATTTGACTGGTCGAAATCAGCATGAAGAAAACTGGTCGAATAAGAGAAAACCCTGGAACTAAGGCAACCAAAGAGGTGGTGATGCAGGTAGAGGAAGAGGTGGTGATGCAGGTAGAGGAAGAGGTGGTGGTCGAAAGCCTGACAAAAGTCACATTCATTGTTTCAATTGTCATAAATATGGTCATTATTTTAGTGATTGTTTAGAAAAGAAGAAGAATCAAGAAACTGATGTGAAGCTAACGAAACATGAAGAAGAAGAGATGTCGTTGATGGTCACAACAAGAGACGAAGAAAGATTCCAGGACCAGTGGTACTTGAACTCAGGATGCTCATCACACATGACTGAAGGAAAGATTGGTTTGTCAACATGAAGCTCTCGTCGAAGAACACGGTGAAGTTTGCAAACTCTAGCAGCTGAAGGTGTTGGTGATGTTCAGATCGTGAGGAAGGATGACAAGAAATCAATAATTTACAATGTGTTATACATACCAGACATGAAAAGTAACCTGCTCAGTATAGAACTGCGTGTCAAAAAGAACTACGAAGTGGTTGTCGAAGACAAGATGATGAGAGTTCTCGACACAGGTGGTAGGTTGATCTTGAAGGCTCCAATGTATCAGCATAGGACCTTCAAGATTGAACTCAATGTGATAAAGCACAAGTGCCTAGCAACTGCAGCCAACAGAGATGAGTGGCTATGGCATTTTCGACTAGGCCATATCAACTTCAATGATATCAGAGAGCTAAAGAGAAGAAATATGGCTTCAGGATTACCTGAAATCGACATTCCAAGTGAAGTCTGTGAAGAGTGTGTTCGTTCGAAACAACACAAGAATAGCTTCAGCAAGGATGCAAGAAGGAAGTCAAATGCAATTCTGAAAATCATATACTCTAATGTATGTGGTCTAATTCAGATGGATTCGATTGCAGGCGAAAAATACTTTGTCATGTTCATAGATGATTACAGTCGAAAACTGTGAACTTACCTCATCAAGAAGAAAAGTGATGTGATCGAGGTATTTTCCAGATTCAAATATATGGTTGAAAGACAAAGTGGTCAAAAGCTAAAAATTATGAGGATTGATGGTGGTGGAGAGTATGTGTCGAAAGAGTTCGATGCATTATGTGAGAAAGAAGGGATTGTGCATGAGGTGGTGCCATCCTATACTCCACGACAAAATGGAATTACAGAAAGAAAGAACAGAACCATCGTGAACATTGTGAGAAGTATGTTGAATGGAAAACATTTACCCAAAAAATTATGGGGAGAAGTGGTTTTGACAACAACATACATATTAAATAGATGTCCGACGAAAAAGCTTGAAGGAATCACACCAGAAGAATGTTGATTGGTGTCAAGCCTAGTCTCAGTCACTTGAAGGTGTTTGGATCTATAACACATAGACATGTGCCATATTAGTTGAGAAGGAAGCTTGACGACAAGTCGAATCAGATGATCTTGGTAGGATATCATTCGACTGCAGAATGTCAAGAAGGATTCAGTGAGAATCTCTTGTGAAGAACCAGTCACTGAAGTCGAAAGAGAAGTTCGACAGGAACAAGTCAGAGATGAAGCAGGCTCAAGCAGACCTCGACGAACAAGACACATTCCTGCAAGGTTGCAAGAATGTGTGATTACATCAGATGATGTAGTCGATGAAGAGGGTGAGCTGGTACATTATGCTTTCTACACAGATCTTGAACAAAGTCAATGCAGCTGAGACATTGAAAGATTCGAAGTGGGTGAAATCAATGAATGAGGAGTTAGAGTCCATCGAAGTCAACAACACCTGGTCACTTGTCGAATTGTCTCAAGGCAAGAAGGCGATTGATGTGAAATGGATTTACAAGGTGAAAGTGAATTCTAAATGAGAGGTAACTCGACACAAGGCGAGACTTGTGGCGAAAGGATTTCTTCAGAAGGAAGGAATCGACTTCGACAAACTGTTTGCACTAGTTGCTTGGAGTTCGAGAAAGGAGACAGTAGTTGCATTGTCATCATGCGAAGCAGAATACATAGTTGCTTCTCTTTGTGCATGTCAAACAACCTGGATGGTGAACCTGATCAAAGAGATCACGGTGAAGAGTCATTGAGCAATTACCATGAAGATCGATAGCATGTCAACTATCAACCTGGCGAAGAATTCAATAGCACATGGACGAAGTAAGCACATCGAAATGAGGTTCCATTATCTTCGTGAGCAGGTAGCAAAAAGAAAGATGAACTTGGAGCACTGCAAAATTGAGAATTAGATTGCAAATATCATGATGAAATGAGTGAAAGTCGAAGTGTTCAAGAAGTTAAGGTCTATGATGAATGTAGATAGTTTAAACACAATGAATTAGGTGGTGTGTTAAATATGTAATTTATTATTTTAGAAAGATCAGATTTGATTTAGAAAGATTATATTATATATTTTTGGACTTTTATAGTTTATACTTTAACTTGAAATGTAAATTAACCTAAATCTATAAATAGAGAGGAACTTTTATCATTGTAATCGTCAAGTTTAATAATCACACTTTTGCAGTTGCAAAGTGATAATTAAATTCCACAATTGTAGGCAAAAAATTACTCAGCAGTTCATACGAATTTACTATAAATTATGGTTGAATTCCATCACTTTTAAGTTATAAATGTATACTTAATTAAATGATTATACATATCAAATAAATTTTAAAATCTATAAATAGAAGGCATTTATTTAGTCCAACATATGTGGGGCATGACCGTGCAGGAAAGTATGAGGATGAGGCTGAGAAAAAGAAATGGATAATAAATAAAAAATAGTGCGGAGTTTCCTTACGCGGTTTTGTTTGTGTATGACGAGTATGAATGAGCATATGTTATTCTCGCCTCTTCTAGAACGACTAGAACCTTCAACTTGTATTTCTTCTCTCTTTTCCTTTCTTTTCTTAGACGCTATATATTGTTCTGGTCATACAAATATATTAAGGTTCCAACCTCTGATAAAAGTATTTACGACAGTATCTAAGCAAGACCATAACATAACAAGGTTTTATCACCAAAGACAAAGGAAGGGTTAAGGAGGAAGATGTGTTTAGTGTTTGTGTGTGGAAAGGATGAACAAGTGGTGTCAAGGCAGGCAGCACCTGGGTCGTGTCCTTATTGTGGAGGGATGATCCAAGCTGTGGACATAGATAGCCACTGGAATTTCTGTTTCCTACCCTTGTACCACAACACCAAACGCAGGCACTATTGCACCATGTGCTCCAGAAAACTCGTGGTCAAGTAGCTCTAGCCATCATCATACATCATCAGCCAAAGAAAAAGCTATTAATCACAGTTTTTTATGGTCTTCCTTTACTGTTTAACATGTATAACAAGTTATAAATACATCTATGATACGAGTTTAGCCAAGATATTTCTTAATTATGATTTAACCATCGCAGAGTTATTATGAAAACCTATTTACCTGCAATTTTATTCTGAAAATTTTGGGGCCCTATGATGTTAGTCCAATTTCTTAGAACTTAAAAAGTGTTCTAACCCATGTCATTGGCTCCTTTGTTATAACAGTTATCATTTGTAATAATTTTACAAAACACAGTTTGCAGAAGCCAGACATATGCTTTTGTCCATCAATAATCACCTGTAACAATTTCAGATCAGCAATTTACATAATTAATTATAGTAATTTGGGAAATATGGAGGAATCTAAAACTAAACAGGACTGCGTTTTCTTCTAGGAAATTAAATAACTAGATGCCAACCTGTAAAACAACAATTGACTTGTCCAATTACATCATAGAAGTTAAGATTTCTTCAAACAACATAATGAGCCTAATAAGGAGTTAAATAATCCAAAAGTTCCTAATCAAATATAACAGAAAAAGGCAGAGGATTAATAGTAGAAAAATCAGGTTTAGAGTGTTAATGTCCTCGCCAATGACAGGCTCAATTTGAAGCTTTGGTGCTTTTTAGGAGAAAAGGCAAAGAATGATATATCTGAAACAACCATAGTTGAGGAAGAGAGAAGAAAAGAGATCACTTGCAGAGTTTCAACTTCTTAAAATATGAAGATACAATTGACTTAGGATAAGGTTTTGTGGCAAGGCAAGTAGGTATGTTTTCAGGTTGTTCAATCCACAGTTTGTGGATGATACCACCAGATTTCAGCTTCTCAGACAAGTTTTTGAGCTGGGGTTCTCCTTTCACTTCGAGTGTGACCTAAAGTTAAGTTCAGTAACCAGTTAGCTCAAACCAGATGATATGCTGCAACAAACACGAATTAGAGCCCTTGCATAGAAATTACATATGCATTTGTACACAGGCATACGCTACATGATACGACAGCCTTACTGATGATAAAAATGTGGAGCAAGAAGCATGAAATCCTATGCACATTTGCCAAGTATCGCATTTTTGCAATATGAACTTCATATTTCTTCTATCAAGTTGAAAATTTCATCACATGACATCTATTAATGATTCTATATTTGTAATTGTCATGTTCAAAATATCCAAATTCTCGGAATTGCAGACAAAAAGGATATTGAGGTGTCCAGCATAAGAAAAGCAAACACAATTAGGCAGAGCCCAAAAGTAAATACAACAAACAAAGTAGTATTCTGATAAGTAAAATTGGCTACATGGATCAAATTACGTCATAATATTCTATTCAATTCATTAATTTCGAGATCTTTCTTAATAGTTTCTCTTATAACTTTTTTAAGTCTTCTTCTAATCTAGTCATTTGATTTCTCTTCGTCTGATTTATTCTCCTTACAACAAAATTTGTAGATCTCCTCTCTACATGTCAAAATCACATAAGTCTATTTTTCATCTTCTTTTTTACTATAGGTGCTACTCCAACACTCTCTCTAATTTTTTCAATTTATAATGTCTAGTCTTACTACACTTCCAGCACACCATTCATATCTCTGCAACACTCTCTCTAATCTTTTCTACTTATCATGTCTAGACTTATCACATTTTCAACACAACATCTTTATCTCTGCAACACTTTATTTTCGTGTTGATTATTAGCTGCTCAACATTCTTTCTTGTTTCCCTCATATATTTTGGATCATTTGAATATAGGCAATTCTAACCTCTTTCTTTTTTAGAGATTTTCACAAAATATCTCGAGACTATCACACATCTTCAAATCAATGAAAGTTAAGTGCAAGGTTTGTTGATCCAACCGATATCGCTCAATCAAGCGCCGTAGTAAATAGATCGCCTTCATGGTGGACCTCCCATGTATAAAACCAAATTGATTATCAATAACACGAATCTCTTTTCTTAGTCTCAGTTCAATCTCTTTTTCCTATAATTTCATTGTATGATTCATAATAAATTTAATTCCCCTATAATTATCACAATTTTGTATATCTCTATTGTTCTTACAGATTGGAATTAAAGTGTTTTCTCTGCATTCATCCGTCATTTGCTTTAACCTCATAATTTGTTAAAAAGTTGTGAGCCATTTAATGCCTCTTTCTCCAGGACTCTTTCACACTTCAATAGATATGTTATCTGGCCCAACTACTTTGCTGCTACTCATCATTTCCAACATTTCTTTTACAGTATTTTTAAATCTAATGGTAGTAGTTATAGTTTTGATCCTCTACCCACAAGATAGTTATATAAATCAAGTTTTGAAAATCAAACTGCTCATTGACTTGGTGAAGGTGCTAGTGTGCAATTCACTAATCCAACCTTGATTGATCCATAGTTTAAACAAATGGAAATTGAATAAAAATCAAAACACATAAAATTTTAAACTTAACATGCAATGATCATGCATTCATACTCATGTCATGAAAGTTATAAACATATACAGTAAAAAAGAATGCATGACCCATTTTAACTGAATGTTAGATCTTTATTTATAAGAACACTTTGTTTTCCACTTCTCCACCACTGATCTACTGATTAGCTGATTCTCAGGTTGGATGAATCCATATTCATATACTGAACTGTATCAACTATTCTTAGTGTGGTGAACTAGAAACCCTAAAACTAAACAGATTTCACAACCTAAAAGCCCACATTGATTAAAATAAGAAGAAAAAGAGGGAAAATAAAAACCTTACTTTGTGCATAGAATCGATTTTATCGGGGCTGCAATAATCGATTGTGACAGGATCGTCTTTATTAGACCAAACGGCGGAAACAGAAGCGTGGCAACCTTGAGTGACCACACTGCCTAATGGCCAAGTATCGATCAGGTCTCGCCGGAGCACCATGTACTGGACCACAACATCGGCGTTTTCTGGCGGTGACGGAGCAACTTCAGGTGTCGACAGAGTGCTGGAATCCGTGGCGGCGGGTTGACTCATTGAGTTAGATGTGAGTTGACACGTCCGGTTCGAGAAAGAGGCCGTGTGTAAAGTGGCGCTAAATTTTGTGCTTGAGAAGGCGAGGTAGGAACCGGAGGGGTTGAAGAGACGAAGAGATGGAAGGGTGTAAGCCATTGATAAACTGACACGGTAAACGTAATGTATCTATCTGTGGTTTTTTTTTAATTAACCTCCTAATTATTCAATTACTCGCTCTCGTTTTTATTTGTATTTTTATTTTTACTTTATTTTAAATTACTCACTCTTGTATTTATATAAGTTTTATTTAAGATAGATGATTATTGCATTACAAAATGTACTTCAAAAAAATGCACTTACAAAAAATACAATCTATTGATTGGGAAGTATAAGTGTGCTGAATTTGTAAAAAGCAAATAAGTTATTTAATCTTAAAGAATTGAGATATGTGTAGGTCTAGCTTATGGATGAAGTTGATGAACGAGGAATTTATTTTCTTCCAATTATTTGACTAGGGCATATGAATGTGAAGATTGTTCTCTTAGATAATAAGAATCAAAACCTCGTTTTTTTTGCTAATAGGAGAAGCAGATTCTTCACACATGTGGTTCAACACGTAAACATCCAGGTATATTTTTGAATGGGTATGTAAATGGGACGATACAACTCATAGGCGTGATGGGTCGAAACCGAACGGCCCATGAACCGTCAGGTCAAGTCCGCCCATAGTTTGGTGTCCCCTTGTGATGCTTCTTGAGTCGTTTGATTTATAAACCATGATCTTATATGCATAACCAAAGTTATCACAACCAACGGTCCCTCAAGCACGATGCATTGGAAGTGTAAAGTCATCTAAATATGTGAGACATTAATCTCTTTCTAGAGAAATGCATCTATTAGACGAAGCTTAGAGGGTGATTCTTGTAACGCCCCAAATTCTGAATTTCCCATTTTTGTTGAGTCCTTTTTAATTCATTTGGATGATTGGTATTTTAATTGTGGAATTTATGTGTTGATATGTTTAATTTCAATATTGTGCTATTTTACCGATTCGGAGAGTTTTCGGGGAAAATAGAGTAAAGGGTATTTTAGACATTTAGTATTAAGTGTTAAGTGGATTATTGTGTGAGAATTAATTGGTAAGTGTTTGGAAAGAAATGGAGAGGAAAGAAAATAGAACATGAGATAAGAGAGAAAAGGAAATAGATAGAAACATTAGTGGAAAAACAAGGGAAAGAAAGAAGAGAGAAGAGAAAGAGGAGAAAGAAGAGGAAAACCTAGGATTTCATCAAGGATCAACATCCAAGCTTTCAATCAATCGGGTAAGGGTATGAAACTCTATTATACTGTTAATGTGTATGATTATGTATGTTGTTGATTGTTTGATGTTGGATTGAGAAGAGTTTCTACTCATTTCCATCTTAGGGCAATATTAGGATTTAATCAGTAGAATATGGTTTTAACCGGTTAGAATCGAGAAATGGATGGAGTAGGATAATCGGGTGTTATTGGGTTGGACTTATTGGTGTAGTTTGGTGTTAGAATTGGTTGGTTTTGTGAGGTTTGGGCTTTGGACAGCCATGGAAGTTCTGAGTTCGCAGGTTCGCCAGGAGAACGGCAGCGAAGCTTCGCCAGGCGAAGCCCAGCGAGCAACAGCGAACTAAGTCAGAAGCATCCACCCTGTCTTCGTTGGCAAGTTCGCCAGGCGAATGAGAGTGGCGAAGGTTCGCCAGGCAAGTGTGCTGGCGAGTGCTAGCGAGTAATTCCAAAATAACTCCCAGTGGTCTTCACTGGCAAGTTCGCCAGGCGAACTAAGTAGCGAAGGTTCGCCAGAGGCTTCACCAGGCAAAGGTTGGCGAATGCGACAGCATTTTCCTATTTTCTGTGTTTTCCCTTTTCATGCGGATTTCTTTGTTCAGTTATGTTTAATCCTTATCGAATTGAATAGTTTTGTGTATCATGTGGTATGTTATGTTATGGGTAGCCGCAAGGCGTGAATCATAGAATGTGGAATTTTGATTGTGAAAATATATGCCTTATATGGAATGGTATGTGTTGAAATAAAGAGTATGTGTATATTATGGAGTATAAGTATATTGTGAATGTGCATAGATTGTATGTGCTTGTATGAGATGAATATGCATAGTGATATATTTGCGAATATGTATGCATGTAAAGTAATGATATGAGTCATTTTGCATAAAGGCATCATGATGTACATCCTAGCGATGTTGATTCCTTGGAAAATCTGCTGAACATTTGATTCCTCGGAGAATTTGCAGAGTATTTGATTCCTCAGAGAATCTGCTGAATATTCGATTCCTCGGAGAATCTGATGAATATTTGATTCCTTGGAGAATCTGCTGAATACTTGATTCCTTGGAGAATCTGCTGAATTGAGTCGGTACCGCATTTGCATCTGCATAGAGTCGTGAGTCGGTCTCTATGAGTTGCATTGATCATCTTTATATGATGCATGGAGTGAATTGAACATAATTCTAGATGTTTATGTGGAAGATGATGAGTATGTATAGACGCATGATTTGATGAATATGCTTGATTGTGTGAATATGCATCGTGATGAGATGTGGTGAGAATCTGAATTGTGTTAATCCCATGTATGTATATAGATATATAAATATATGTATTGACTGTTATGATATTGTTTCTCACCCTTCTGCTGTTTCATAATGCTCTACGAGGCATTGCAGAGTAGGATTGTTGGAGGTCATTTTTGTGTGAAGCAGGTCTTCATTATTTTTGGTCGATGGCTCTGATATGTAACATCTGGGTAGTTAGGAAGCCTTTGGCTCTTTTTGGAGATACATTTGTTTTGATTTCTTTTGTGATACATCTGCGTATGTATCTGATGATGGATGTTTGTACATATGAATTAACTGAATGATGTATATATGTTTATATGAATGTATCGATTCAATGTTTAGATGTTTCCGCTTTATTCTAAATATTGAGATGTGTGTTTTAGAACTATGTTCTTCAGTCGTGAATTGCCCATTGTTGCATATCTATTTGAGCAGGTGTTGTAGGTGTTTAACTTCATGATAATGTGATACACCTCTTTTATATCATGTATTAATTAAACTCTGATGAAACTTTTATCAAGGGCCTAAATGATTTAATTGTTTATTTGGGGGTATAGAAAGGGGGTGTTACATTAAGTGGTATCAGAGCCAGCGTTGAGTCAGTTGTGTCTGTCTTATTGTTGTGTTGGTTGAACGGTTGTTTAACCTTGTTATTTTTGGTAATCCTCATAATATGGCTAGTCGTAATGACAATGCTATGGCTGCGGCATTGGAGGCTATGGCTAGGGCGGTGCAAGGCGCACCGAATGTGAATGCGAATGATGAGTTTAGAAAGAACCAACCACCGGTATTCAAGGGAAGATTTGATCCAGATGGTGCTCAGATTTGGTTAAAGGAGATCGAGAGGATCTTTAGGGTTATGAATTATGTTGAAGGAAACAAGGTGAGACTTGGGACTCACATGCTGAGAGAGGAAGCCGATGACTGATGGGTCGGTATGAGACAAGTTCTTGAAGTAGACGATGAGGGAATCACTTGGAATCTTTTTCACACCGAATTTTTGAGAAAGTATTATCCTGAGAGTGTGAAGGGAAAGAAGGAGATGGAGTTCCTGGAATTGAAACAAGGCAACATGTATGTGATAGACTACACGGCTAAGTTCACAGAGTTAGTGAAGTTTCATCCTCACTATGATGCGCTGACGGCAGAATTTTCCAAATGTATTAAGTATGAGAATGGCTTGCGCCCTGAGATCAAGCAAGCGGTAGGTTATCAGAGGATTAGGAGATTTTCGGACTTGACCGAATGCTGTAGAATCTTTGAAGAAGATAGTAAAGCTCGTTCCAGTCACTATAAGAGTTTGAATGAGAAGAGAGGGAAGCAACCGATGAGGAGTGGAGCCTATATGACGCCTGCTGATAAAGGCAAGCATAGGAAAAACTTTGATAGGAAGCCCAGAGGAGGTTCTAGTGCGATTAAATGTTTCAAGTGTGGCGTAATGTGCCACAAGTCCTTTGATTGTGGAAAATCTGTGGAGAAGTGTGCTAACTGTGGGGTTCCTGGACATGCCACTTCAGATTGTAGAAGGAATATGGTGAAACGCTACAACTGTGGCGAAGTGGGTCACATTAAGCCCAATTGTACTAAACCGAAGCAAGCTCCAGCGGGCGGAAAGGTATTTGCGTTAGCCGGTGCAGACACTACTAATGCGGATCGTTTGATTAAAGGTACATGCTTTATTAATAATGTGCCTTTAGTTGCTATTATTGATACTGGAGCGACTCATTCGTTCATTTCTCTTGAGTATGCCAAACGTTTGGAGTTGTTCATGTTTCTTTGAGTGGTGGCATGGTTATTGAGACTCCCGCTTCGGGGTCGGTAACTACTTCCTTGGTATGCATAAGTTGTCCTTTGACCATGTATGGTAAAGACTTCGTTATGGATTTAGTGTGTTTGCCGTTGGACGGTTTGGATGTGATTTTAGGTATGAATTGGTTGCAATATAATAAGGTTCATCTGGTTTGCTATCACAAGTTGGTAAGATTTCCTTATTTGGAAGATGATGGAAGTGAGAGTTTTCTATCCACTAAAGAGTTGAAGAAACTTTTAGCAGACGAAGCTCAGTTGTTCGGTTTGTTTGCGTCCTTGTCGGTAGAGAGTAAAGTGGAACTGGAGGTGTTTCCCGTAGTGCAAGAATTTCCAGAAGTGTTTCCGAGAGATATTAAGGATGTGCCGCCGGAGAGAGAGATTGAGTTTTCTATTGATCTAGTTCCGGGTACTAGACCGATTTTGATGGCACCGTATCGTATGTCGGCATCGGAATTGGTAGAGTTAAAGAGGCAGATGAATGACTTGTTGGATAAGAGATTTGTAAGACCAAGTGTTTCTCCTTGGGGTGCGCCGTTATTGTTAGTAAAGAAGAAAGATGGAAGCATGCGGTTGTGTATTGAATATCGGCAGTTGAATAAAGTGACGATTAAGAATAAGTATCCGCTTCCAAGAATAGACGATTTGATGGATCAATTGGTTGGAGTCCGTGTTTTTAGTAAGATTGACTTGAGATCGGGTTATCACCAGATTCGGGTGAAAGAAGAAGATGTTTCAAAGACGGCC